GAGTACACTATACACAGTCAAACAAATCTATCAATCTAGAGCACACTGTATACACAGTAAAACAAATCTACCAGTCTAGAGTACACTGTATACACAGTAAAACCAATCTATCAATCTAGATCACACTGTATACACAGTAAAACAAATCTATCAATCTAGATCACACTGTATACACAGTAAAACAAATCTATCAATCTAGATCACACTGTATACACAGTAAAACAAATCTACCAGTCTAGAGTACACTGTATACACAGTAAAACAAATCTACCAGTCTAGAGTACAGTGTATACACAGTAAAACAAATCTACAACACACTTTATTCAGTAAGAAATTTCAATATACATTTTAAATACGAGTGGTTACATTTTTGGTCAACTGCTTTTTGGCAAATTGCTTCTCATGAGTGTTAATCCAAAGCACAAGTACTACATTACTTTGAAGTTGATAATCTATCAAATGAAACAATTAATTGCTTTATTTACTATCTGCCTTGGTTCATGAGAACAGCCCATGTATATTGAAAAGAACAATAATGATGGTATTCTTTCATATAAGTCTTTTCTCCAAGATCTTAAATATTTCCATACCTACCCATTCTCAATCAGTGGATAATAAATCACTGGGTCAATGTCCTTCAATCTCTGTTGAAAACAAAACAGTAAATTACAAATTGGAATTTAAGAATTTTTCACCAGATATCACATATAATTATCTACATAAAATATGTTAAACCTTTTAAAAGTATATAGAGATTACCTAATCTGTACTTAAAACCCAGGACTGTTAACCTCTCTCGTGATTAAACACTACTGTTTTACACAGTTGGTGGTGGGTGGTGATGACTAGCTGCCTCTCCTTTAGTCTTACACTGTTAAATTAGGGCCGGCTAGCCAACTCTTGGGCTACTCTTTTACCAACGAATAGTGGGATTGACCATCACATTATAACGCCCCCACGGCTGAAAGGGCGAGCATGTTTGGTGTGATGGGGATTATAACCCGCGATCTGCAGACTACGAGTCGAGCACCCTAACCACCTGGCCATAATATACACTGATTAGTTAATTCTTTTCCCGTGACTCTCAACTAAGATAAACATAGATAAATATGGCATAGGAAAGTACTTATTTTGACAATACTAAAATACAATACCTTCATTTAAGAAAGAAAGTGTTTACTACCTGTTTTAGTTGATCCAATGGTAAAATAATAACTGTATCATTCAAGAAAAATGCACTATCTTTCTTCTGTCCAAACTGCTCTCCTTCTTCAATTACCACTCTGAAAATTGAGAGGCTTACAAACACTTTCACATATCTCAACACTAGAAAAGTTGGCATCAAAAAACGTATTAGACATAAAATATTAAATTACAAAATCAAACAGATGTTGTTGAGTATTAAAATTGAAGTTAATAGTTTATTAGAAAAGAGTATCTGAAGATCTGAGTAAAAATATTTAATGACCTAAGATACTGCCTTCAATTTATTAAAGATTCAAGTGTTCACTTTAAATCTGTTAGAAATGAAACTTTGAAGGAGAAGATACAATTCAATTTGAATATTCAGTGAACATAATGACTGTTGTTAGTTACAATAAAAAACTGATTAATAACTCGTTTGTCCACACAATCTAAAAATGAAAACAAAACCTTTGAGAGATTACTTTTAAAAGTTGGAAGAAGTCTATTATTTTCAACCTACGTGAAGTTCAATACAGAAAACAAACACTAACTTACTTTGGCTGTGTACATATTGCAGGCTTTACTTTGATTAATCCTTGTCTTCTCAGTTCAGCCTCAATATCACCTCCAGTCAACTGCCACAAGTAATATATCTCTTCTAAGGGGCGTCTTAATAAGTGGTTCTCTAAATGTTAAGAGTACTTATATATAACATAATATTTTTAAATACCACTGAAAAACACTGATGTAAAAATTAATGAAACTATCAGATGTTTTGATTTAGAAGGTTGCAAATTTGAAACAAATATGTTGAAAAACAAATAATAAAACCTTCAAATAGTTTTTCAACTACATATAAATTATGTAAACACTGTTTTGGACCTAAGGTTAATGACAACTCATGCTGAATATCATTACCAACATTTTAAAGATCCACAGAGTATATTCCTTTAATAACTTTTACAGAGTATTACAAGTGTTTCCTTTATTAACCTTTACAGAGCATTACAAGTGTTTCCTTTATTAACTTTACAGAGCATTACAAGTGTTTCCTTTATTAACCTTTACAGAGTATTACAAGTGTTTCCTTTATTAACCTTTACAGAGCATTACAAGTGTTTCCTTTATTAACCTTTACAGAGTATTACAAGTGTTTCCTTTATTACCTTAATCATTACAGAGCACTTACTTTATTAATTTAACTTTTAGAGATCATTACAAATGTTCCTTTATTAACCAAAGTTAATAAAGGAAACACTTGTAATGCTCTGTAAAAAAATTAATAAAGGAAACACTTGTAATGCTCTGTAAAGGTTAAATTAATAAAGGAACCACTAGTAATACTCTGTAAAGGTTAATAAAGGAAACACTTGTAATGATCTGTAACCTTTACAGAGTATTACAAGTGTTTCCTTTAATATCTTTTACAGAGCATTACAAGTGTTTCCTTTATTAACCTTTACAGAGTATTACAAGTGGTTCCTTTAATATCTTTTACAGAGCATTACAAGTGTTTCCTTTATTAACCTTTACAGAGTATTACAAGTGGTTCCTTTATTAACTTTTACAGAGCATTACAAGTGTTTCCTTTATTAATTTAACCTTTACAGAGTATTACAAGTGTTTTCTTTAATATCTTTTACAGATCATTACAAGTGTTTCCTTTATTAACCTTTACAGAGTATTACAAGTGGTTCCTTTATTAATTTAACCTTTAAAATACACTAAATGTTCTTAAAAGTGGTTTTTCTAAGTTTAAACAGAACAACAATAAAGAATTTAAACTACATAAAAAAATTACACAGGAGTTGAACATCTGTATAAAGATAATCCATTGTGTCTGTGTGTGTCTGTGCATATGCAGAGTCCAAAACTTCTAATCAGTCCTTCACAAAAATTGTAAATGGTCCTTATAGGTTTAACTAGTTTATTTCAAGAACATGTATACATATGTTAGCTCCATTTTATCAATTGCAGATGTGAATGTTTTTAACGAAAGACACAAATGCAAATACGTATGTCCATATCTGTGTATCAATAAGCAAAACACTTTCATTGAAAACAACAGTTTTTGACTATATCATTACTGGAATGTACATAATCTTTATATTAACCCAGATAAACACATAAAATAATACGACTTGAGATTACTACTTTAATACTGATCTAAGATAAGGTGTTGATAGCCATCACACTACACTTGGATCAATGTAAGGTGTTAATAGCCATCACAGTACACTTGGATCAATGTAAGGTGTTGATAGCCATCACACTACACTTGGATCAATGTAAGGTGTAGCCATCACAGTACACTTGGATCAATGTAAGGTGTTGATAGCCATCACACTACACTTGGATTAATGTAAGGTGTTGATACCCATCACACTACACTTGGATTAATGTAAGGTGTTGATACCCATCACACTTCACTTGGATCAAAGTAAGGTGTTGATACTTTAGACCAGTGGTTCTCAAACAGTGCGCCCAGGCGCACTGGTGCGCCCCAGAGCCTTTTCAGGTGCGCTCCGTAGCATTCCTGAAAAATATATCTAGATATGAAAAGCAAATGTATACTAAGTTACTATATTATACCATTTCTTTACGAACACTCTGCTTGTTTCGTTGCGACATTATTATGATACTTATAAGTTACTTTTCTTGCAACTAGCTTCTGGGCCGCAAGTTTTGCACGCGTTTAAAACACGTAACAAACGTGGCTGGAACGGCATGTTAACACCGGCAAGCAGGCAAAATAAGTGACTCACCCAAAGTAT